ATGCCAGCCAAATCCTTATTTCCTAAAGATAACAATTGAAAATGTGGATGTTTTTCCTGTTGTTTCTAATTTAAATGTATTAATAAATGCATGGTTTGTGCTGGCTTCATTTCAAAGCACGTAAGAGAAAGGAAGGATCTAGGCCCAGTGGCATGAACCTGTAATTCCAGCTACTCAACAGGCTGAGGCTGAAAGGTTGCTTGAGCCCAGGAGTTCAAGACCAGCCTGGGCAACATAGGAAGACCTTGTTTCAAAAAAAAAAGAAAAAGAAAGAAAGAAAGAAAAAAGAAAAAGAAAAAGGAAAGGGGCTCACCATACAGGTGACTGAATGTAAGCAGAATGACCAACTATAACAACAAATGAAATGGGAAAGCCCTGACCCCCCTCTTCTCATGGGATTAAGATTCATCTCCAACTGCTAACTCCAAGATTGAGTAAGAAAATCATTTTCAAAAAATGATGATTTCTTGTTTCTTTTCCCCTAGGGAAAAAGAAAACTGATAAACCTGAAAAGGAAAGTAAAGGTAAAGTAAAGATGACATTTTAAGACATGTACACCAAATCAGCCATGAAAACAATGGAATAAAAATACATAATTGTACAAACCATATCACTAAAAGTAATTCATGACACATAGACACTGGTTTTATGGCACATACAAGAATTGCAGTACATTGCAGTTAATCCATACAAAAGGTGTGCGTATTGTATTATTTTTAAATAGCTAAAGGGAATAGGAATATAGATCTAAAGCAAACTCTACCTGTTATTCCTAAATTAAAGCCATGGATTTCTTTTCATATGACTTCTAAAAATGTGAATATTGACTACAAAAAATTTAATTTCAAGCCTTCAGAAGAACTATTAATAAATATGATATATTACTCTGACTTACTGTTTCTTCTCTGCAGAAAAAGCAGAAGTGAAACATCATAAAGAAGAAAAAGGTAATTTTTTAAAAGAAGAAAAACTATAATGCAAAGCCCTGAAGCCAAAATATTTTGAATCAAAATTTATTTATATCATTTGTAAATGGAAGTTTTATTTATATATGTGATGACTGCTGGTCTGATTTAAAGAAGAAATGTGGTAAATAACTGTGGCTATATGATAATGGACAGCAGGCCAATCCATGCAAAGAAGCATCCATTTGATGTTCCCTTGATGCTTCCTCTTAACACTGGGTTTATTTCCTTAGTAAACTATACAATATAATATAGTAATCACTGATTTCAATGTAATTTTCCGGAGAACTTACAAAGGTCTTAATTATCAAAGAAATATCTATTGGATCAAGAGGAAAGCGTTCTTAGATATATCAGAATAACTGTCAATAACAAAAAAATACTTTTTGTTTATCCTCACATTCAGTTAGAGTGACCCATTTTCCATAGATTCTAGTTAATTTAGTTGCAACATTCATGGTATATCTCTGTTTATGAAAACCAATCTCTACTGCTAACATTTACTTTTGTTAGGTATTAGTTGGAATGAAGACGAAATTTTTTAAATTCACCCTGAGAAAATATTTACAATGCTTTAATCATTCCCACGTTCTTAAAGCTTAGAGTTGAAGTGAGACACAATGTTTATGAAAATTTACTTTAAAAATTCATATTTTAATTTAGATTTTTCTTATAAACAGTCTCGACAAGAAAAGAAAGTCCTCAATTACACAATGTGACAAAAGGTAATTTTGAACTACATAAATATTCAAATGCAACATTAGTATAGAAATGCCTGAATTGTGTTGATGCTGAATATTAACACCAAATTATTTTAAAGCAGCAACATCTAGCAGATATACACTTCAGCTAACAGCAGAGGATTATTTTACTTGTTTTGCAGTTTTATACATGAGGTGTGCTGCTGTAATGTGACGAAAAACATAAGTATCCCAACTGAAAATGTTTTAAAAAGAACTTTATATTGGCATCATTTTATTTTATAAATTTTTAATTCTTAGGTTTATGTTAGAAACTCTAAAAATCTCAAAGTAAACTATATAACACAAATTCCTTAAAAACATATATTTCCTATCCTGGCCCTTTGAATGAGATTTAGGTTGGTAGAATGGAGATATTGCCAGTTTTGTTCAAAAAGGTAGAATGTCTGGTGTAGTATTCAGGACAATTATCTCACCCTATATATTTTTTCCCTACATACATATAGTTTAATAATAAAGCACATTTCTTTGAAGAATAATAATGCCTTATGGAAACAGATGAATTACTGTGAAAAAGTAAACTGATTTTTTATTTTGCTTTTTAAGATGTATTTATTTTATTGTCTAACTGGTAATTACTGATCTTTATTCATCTTTGAAAGAAAAATAATTCTCAGTGATATATTTTATGAAATTTGGAAATTTTAAAGAAAATATTTAGATTAATTACATAATACAAAGTGACTTTATTCAAGTTAGGCATAAGTATAATTGAACTAAAACACTTAATTTTAACAAAGATCCTGCTGATTTTAGTAAGAGTATTTAAAAAGTATAAATATATTGTGACAGCTGAAGTGATTAATAGCTTTTTTGATAGCTCACATATTTTCTTACATACAAGAGATTAATGAAGATTTTCAAAGACTCATGTTCACAAACAATAGAGAGTTGTATTTCTTCATTAACTCTTAAACAATAAAAGAGAAACTCAAAATATATTAGATACTTTTATAAAGTACACTGATGTATAATCTCCTTGCATTTTATCTCATTTAAACAAATTTTGTTTTCTTTTCTTAGCTGAAAAACCGGCAAGAGTATCAAGTAAGTACAATGTGTATTAATGATGAGTTCTCTTTAATACATAGTATCAAATTTAAGGTGAAATTCATAAAATATTTCTATTTTTTAATGTTCAGAGATTCATTCTAAACTAAACCTACTGATAGGAATTTGTTAGCTTTTTTTTTTTTTTTTTTTGAGACAGAGTCTCACTCTGTTGCCCGGGCTAGCTAGAGTGAGTGCCGTGGCGTCATCCTAGCTCACAGCAACCTCAAACTCCTGAGCTCAAGCGATCCTCCTGCCTCAGCCTCCCAAGTAGCTGGGACTACAGGCATGAGCCACCATGCCCGGTTAGTTTTTTCTATATATTTTTAGTTGTCCAATTAATTTCTTTCTAATTTTAGTAGAGGCAGTGTCTCGCTCTTGCTCAGGCTGATTTCGAACTCCTGAGCTCAAACGATCCGCCCGCCTCGGCCTCCCAGAGAGCTAGGATTACAGGCGTGAGCCACCGCGCCCAGCCAAATTTGTTAACTTTTATTCTCACTTATGTTGAAACTTGTAAAAAATCTACATTATTTGAAATTGTAACTTGTACCAGAAACACCTTATTACGTACTTAAGCCTGAAGATAAAAGTGACTTGTCTTCAAATAAATAAATCTTTTCAGTGATTGAAGCAGAATGAAAAAAAAATAATCCTGTTTCTGCCTTAAACCATCAATCACTAAAAATTTACTGTGGATCACGTATGATCAAACAATCATGTTTTATTTGCTGCTGTTTTCTAATCTTCATTAACTTACATATAATTTTATAACTAAGAAGAATGGCATAGTTAGGAATGAATGGAATCTTGTGTAGCATAAACAAACAGAGCTCCCAAAAAACATTCTCTAAAATATCAGATCCAGGTACAGATAGGAATTCTAAATGTATAGGATACAACTGTAAACATTCTTACAAGTTCCTAAAATTTAGAGAAATAAAAATTTTCCTTTCCATATTTCCATACTTACAAAAAGAGAAATCATTCTAAAACAGTGCTATTCAATACAAATACAATATCAGTCACATATGTAATTTTAAATTTCTAGTTGACACATTAAAAAGTAAAAAAAAACAGATGAAAATAATTTTATAATACATTTTATTTAACCCAATATATACAAATATTATTTCAATGTATAATCATATAGAAATGTATTAATCATTTACATCCTTTTTTTTCTTGTATTGAGACTTTGAAATCATATGAGTATTGTACACTTAGAGCACATTTCAGTTTGCACTAGTCACATTTCAATTCCCTAAGATCCGTGTAGTTAGTGGCTACTGCATTGGACCAAGGAAGTGCAATTTATTGCTTCCGCTGTACCCAACATTTTGTGAATATTGAGAACAACATAAGAGAATCATTAAAATATGGTACTTGCCACATTGTCCTTTAAAGTTCTTCGATTGCATGTAATACAATCCCACATGGACTTGCTTCAGGAATTTAAAAAATAAAATTTATTACATGGATACAGAATTATCTCAGTGATGCAGGGCAAAACTTAAAGTAAAGGCCCTTGGAAACTATCCTACCCCACACCCTTCCCCTATAGCCAAAGGTAGTGGGAGCAGACTTCATGAAGGAGGTAATGCCAGGATTTGTACCTTGAAGAATGCTTCATCTGGAACCAGAAAATAGCCCAAATAGCCAAAGCAACCTTAAGCAAAAAGAACAAATCAGGAGGCATCACTTTACCAGACTTTAAGATATACCACAAGACTATACTAACCAAGACAGCATGGTACTGGCACAAGAAGAGAGACCTAGACCAACGGATCAGAATGGAGAATCCAGATATAAAACCATCCTCATGTGACCAACTGATCTTTGACAAAGCAGACAAAAACATACAGTGGAGAAAAGAATCCCTATTCAATAAACGGTGCTGGGAAAATTGTACAGCCACATGTAGAAGACTGAAACAGGAGCCACACCTCTCATCACTCACAAAAATTAATTCACAATGGATAACAGACTTAAACCATGGCATGAAACTATAAGAATTCTAAAAAAAGAGGCTGGAAAAATTATTATAGATATCAGCCTAGACAAAGAATGTATGAGGAAGACCCCAAAGGCAATCACAGCAACAATAAAAATAAATAAATGGGACCTGATCAAATTAAAAAAGCTTCTGCATAGCCAAGGAAACTATCACAAGAGCAAACAAACAACCTACAGAATGGGAGAAAATATTTGCATGCTACATGTCTGATAAAGGGCTGATAACTAGAATCTATATAGAACTCAGGAACAGCAAGAAAAAATCAAGCAACCCCATTAAAAAGTGGGCAAAGGACATGAACAGAAACTTTTCAAAAGAAGATAGACTAATGGCCAAGAAACATATGAAAAAATGCTCATCATCTCTAATCATCAGGGAAATGCAAATCCAGACCACAATGAGATAGAACCTAACTCCAGTGAAAATGGCTTTTATCAAAATGTCCCAAAACAACAGATGCTGGTGTGGATGTGGAGAGAAAGAAACACTTGTACACTGTTGGTGGGACTGCACACTAGTTCAGCCTCTGTGGAAAGTAATATGGAGATGCCTCAAAGAACTAAAAGTAGACCTATCATTTGATCCAGAAATCCTACTATTGAGTATTTACCCAAAGGAAAAAAGACATTTTATAAAAATGACACTTGTGCTGGAAGGTTTATAGTAGCACAATTTATGATCTCAAAGATGTGGAAACAACCCTAGTGCCCATCAATACATGAGTGGATTAATAAAATGTGGTATATGTATAATCGTTGAGTATTAGTCATAAAAAAATGGTGAACTAATACCTTTTGTACCAGCCTAGATGGAAGTGGAGACCATCCTTCTAAGTGAAGTATTGCGAGAATGGAAAAACAAGCACCACCTGTACTCACTATTAAATTAAAACTAAATGATCAGCACTCACGTGTACATAAGGTAGTAAAATTTAAGGGAAATAGAGCAGGTGGGGGGATAGGATGGGTAAATTCACATCTAATGGGTACAATGCACACTGAGTGATGGGTACACTTACAACTTTTACTCAAACTGTACAAAAGTAATTCATATAACCAAAATGTTTGTACCCCAGTAATATTCTGAAATAAAAAAAATAAAATCATGCTAACTTGTAAAAATTACTTAACATTTCTGTGGTTCAGTAGCCTTATTTTTAAAATTTGGAGTATAATAATAATATTTACCTCATAGAAATTTTGGGCAGATTAAGTAAGGTAAAATAGTAGGATGCATATATGAAGTGATTATTAACTGGTAACTATGAGAATGAGGATAGTAGTGATGATTACGATATGACAAGGAGTTACTTCCCTAGCTAGGGATAGATTTCAATTATTAAGCTTTTGTGTCAAAATGGATAAAACTATAAAATGAAAAAATAAAAAGAAATAACACCTCATTTATTTTTGGCTGGATTTAAAACAATCACACCTTTTAGAGCAAGGGTAATTAAATTCATGATGATTTTGTTCCAGGAGGAAAAAATGGAGCAGTTACTTTTTGCTGAAGGCTTCTAAATGGATTCCAGCTGCCATAGTCACTATTCTGATCGCTTCTTTTGCTGGACCCCAGAGACAGTCTGCATATAAGGCACATTTGCTGCAATGTTTCACTGTTCATTATTAGTCTTTGGGTCCCAGCACCGTGGCCTCATTCGTTTATGGGTGATGTTAAGTTGTCCTGACATTGCTCTCAAGACAGTCGTGTTTATCCTTGGAGTGACAGGACAGACACTCAGAAAGGATTGCAAACGTTTATGGAACACCCTTGGCTTCACTGTGTACTGTGTGCAAAATTCCAAATGTGAACTGTCCCTGCATGCTTTATTATTCCCTGGAGTCAATTTCAAGAATTCTCAGTGAATGTTCAGTGTAGCAGTTAATTTTCTTTAAAACTCATGATCATCTTAAATAACAGCATGCATAGAAGGAGCCTCTCACACCTGAGGGCTAACATAAACTGCCTGTCGACTGTTGCTCTGAACTACTATAAATTCTTAGGATTTTTGGGGAAAATGTAAACTCTTAGAATGTAATATTCTCTGACACCAGTTACACAAATTCAGCCAGTTAAGAAAATAATGGAGCTTTGGGTATATCTGTAGACACAGAGTGATGCAGAGAATTTGATAAAGGAAGAGTGGTGAGGAGGGATACAGAAATGATGCTAAGTTTCCTTTGTGTCTGTGTCTAAGGATTCCAAGTGTTTGCTTATGAGGATTTCTTGAAACTGCACAAATCAGAAAAGACTGCTAGGAGAGATAAACATACAGTAACTGTGTCAGTATACACCATGCATTATTTATGTAGATTTATTTATTTATAGTGTTTGCTGATAGTATGAAGAACAGTCTGGACACTACATAGAAACATTTTAAAATGGGAAAAACGAAATTAACAATCTATGCCACCAATGTAGATGCTTTAAAATTCTCCTTCTTGCCAAATGACAATCTCTTTTAAGCTTTCCCATTCTCCCCATCACCATCCTCCTATTCTCATACGTGGAAGCCTTGCTTCTCCTAACATTTATCTTTCCATGTTCCTCCTTGACTCCATCCTTTCTTGCCACTCTACATCCTTGCTTCCTCAATCATGAGTCTGCAGCTCTCAATCTAAGGGCTCCTCCCCGCTCTGCTTACAAATACGTACCGACTATTTCTTTGTCTAAAATTGCCCTTGCCCTTTCTGCTTCTTGGAGCTTGTCCTTTTCCTCTGCTTGAGTTTACAACCACACTTCTGAAATAGATCTCCCAGCAGTTCCTCTCCGCTCCTTCAGTTTTAACGCCATGCAACCTGGATATTCCTCCCCACACTCTCCTCAAATAGCTCACTTAAATAACACAGACTTCCAAATTGCAACATTTAATCAACTTTTCTCACTTCTCCCCTATTCTTAACCTCTATGATGTATTCCACATTGTGAGTCCCCCACACTTTTTGAAATGTTTCCTTCATTGGCTTTCATAGCATTGGACTTT